TATGAAGGCCTCTCAGGGGAGTGGTTCCCAGGGACACCTAACTGGGATAATGAAATTAATGATTCTGACAGCAGTGAGGAGGCATTGAGTGAGTCTGGCTCTGTTTTGACAGCTTTGCACATATGAACTCATTAATCCTCACAGCAGCCCTATGAGGCGGGTGCTGTCGGTCACTCGCTGTCCCTGATGTGGCACAGAAGCCTTCTCTATAGCCTTCCTTTATAATCCCTAACAGCTGCAGGCTGCTTTCCTGCAGCTTCCCTCTGCTGCCTGGCGCTCCACGCTCCTGCCTCCCCGCCATACCTCTGCCACTCTCTCCTGCTTGCATCACTACCTGTGCTTCCTCTGCCCACTCCATAAATATGGGATCTCCAGGGTTCCCTCCTCCATGCTCTTCTCACTTTACGTCCCTTCCCAAAGTGAGCTGTCTCATCCCATGGCCTCAACCACTACCCACAGGCTGGAAGGAAAAGTGAGTGGTAGGGTCGTAAGTACCACGTTAAGGATTGAGGGTGCTAAGAGCCCAGAAAGCGTGGGATTGTTGGTGGGGGGCCTTGTGACATGGCCAGATACTTATTTTGAAAAGCTTGTGGTCATAGCTGTATGGGGTTTGTGTACCCGTGGTCTCAGTGAGGGGTCCTGAGCTCCTTCACTGAGTAGGGTGAAGGAATAGAGAGTGGGGCATGGATTGCACAAGGTTTCAAGGTAAAACCAGCAAGGGCTTGATCAGGAGCACTAAAGGGAAGGAGATGAAGTGGGGTGACTCCCAAGTTTCCAGCTGGGGCTGGAACAGGCAATCAGCTTTGAGTAGGAGATGCTGCACTGAGTGTTGGACTGCAGTGTTTGAATCATCTTTGGTTCTTCAAGATGGGGATGTCCAGCAGGCAACCAGCTGTGGGCTCTACCCTCTCAGAGTGGACAGCACAGAGGACTGGGAGTTGTCCACATACAATTCTGTAACATCCATGAGCAGGGTGAGCTCATCCAAGGTGGGCAGGGTGGGCAACCAAAGGCAGGGCAGCTACCAGCACCTGCATTCAGTCAGGGCTGTGGGGGGGACCCAGTAAAGGCTGAAATTGTTCCTTGGATTTGGCAGCGAAGAGGTCTCTGGTGACCTTGGTGAGAGGTGTTTCAGCATTGTGGGAGGACAGAGCCAGAGAAGCAGGGATGGAGCAGGAAAAGGTGGCGTCAGGCAGTGCAGGGAACTCTACAGAGGCTGGCAGAGCTGGAAGGAGAGGCGGGCACCGGGGGAAAGGGGTCAGAGGAGCCGCTGGGACCCCTAGACCTGAAAATCTGGTCATCAAGCTTGACAGTTTCCTCTTCCTCGCAGTTCATGTCCAATGAGGCACCAAATCTTGGGGATTCCTAAACACCTCTCAGTTGGCCTGTCCCTTCCTCTCCATCAGCCTGGAGATGCTGTGGGGGCCTCTGCAGCAGTGCCTGCCTCCACCTCTTCTGGTTCTGAGTCCTTTCACAATTCTGGCTTGGCGCGTGCAGGCTTCTGCCTGGCTGGCTTTCCCCTCTTCTCCAGCTGATGAATTTGTGTCCCCTGCTGGGCCTGCCTTGGGGGTAGGTGGGGGGAGTGGAGCAGCAGCCTTAGACCAGCCTGTTCCTGCCTTTCCCCCTAGGGTGGGTGGGGGGCCCTGCTGAGGGGGTGGGTCTGAAGTGGGACCCCTCAGTGGTGGCTGAGGAGGGGCTAGGGTGGGGCCTGTGGGAGAGGCTGCTGCAGAGACCCCTGCATCTCAGCATCTCATTCCTAGGGCTCCAGCCCTGGCCTGGTGTGTCTCCCCTCCCCACAATCCTGTGAGGTTGTGCAGCTGTGAGGCTGTGGGGCTTCGGGGGTGTGGGGCAGTATGAAAACAGGTGCGGGCTCCCTCCTTCCCTACCCAGGTGCTCCTGAAGTGCCTTGTGTCTCCATTCCTGTTTGAGGGATGTTCCCGGTACAGGGCTGAGCCTTCCCTCAGACTGTAGGCCTTGCCTTCCCTCCGCTAAACCACTTCCGGCCCCCTGCAAGGGCCTGGCTTATAAGCCGTGGAGCACACCTCAGTGTATGTATGTATAAGTGTGGGTGTGTGTGTGTGTACATGTGTGATGTGTGTGTGGTGTGTGTGTGGTGTGTGTGGGTGTGGTGCATGTGTGCACATTCATGTGTGGTGTGTGTGGGTGTGGTGCATGTGTGCACATTCATGTGTGGTGTGTGTGGTATGTGCATACATGTGTATGGTGTGTGTGATGTGTGGTGTGTGTGTGATGTGTATGTGTATGGCATGTGTGGTGTGTATGTGATGTGTGTTGTGTGATGTGTGTGTGGTGTATATGTGTGATGTGTGTGGTGCATGTGTGTGGTGTGTATAGGATGTGTGTGTGTAGTGTATGTGGTATATGTGGTGTGTATGTGATCTCTGTGTGGTGTGTGTAATGTGTGTGTGGTGCATGTGTGATGTGTGTGTTGTATGTGTGTGTGATGTGTGTAATGTGTGTGGGTGTGAATGTGGTGTGTGTGTGTGGTGTGTATGATATATGTGTGTGGTGTGTGTGATGTGTGTGGTGCATGTTCAAGTGGTTGGTGTATGTGGTGTGTGTGATGCATGTGTGATGTGTGTGTGGTCTATGTGGCATGTGTGTGGTATGTGTTGTATATGTGTGATGTGTGTTGCTGTGTGGTGTCTGTGATGTATGTGTAGTGTGTGTGTATGTGTGATGTGCACGGTGTCTGGTGTGGTGTGTGTGTGGTGTGTGTTTGTTGGTGTGTGTGTGTTGTGTATGTAGCATGTAGGTTGCTGTGTGTGGTGTCTGTGGTATGTGTGCTGTGTATGTTGGTGTGTGTGATGTGTGTGTATGGGTGTGTGTGGCTAGCCCCTCTCACCATGACTGTCTTACCCACAGGCTGTCCTGGGATGTGGGACAACATCACGTGTTGGAAGCCGGCCCACGTGGGTGAGATGGTCCTGGTCAGCTGCCCTGAGCTCTTCCGAATCTTCAACCCAGACCGAGGTGGGTTTATCCCAGTCTCTTTAGTCCATGCTGGCTTAGCCTGCTCCCCAAACTCTGCCCCAGGCAAGCACCAAGGACAGGGAGGCCACCCTATAGGCAGACAGTCCCTGCTCCCGAGCTCACATGTGGTGTGGGGGATGAAACCAGAGACACGTGCACACACGGGGACACAGGTACACTTGGGGACCGTGGTTGTGGATGACAGCAAGGCTGTGTCCTCACGTATGGGATCCATGCCGGCTGTCACTCACCCTCCAGCCCGGGCCCCTGTCTGTCAGTTGGGTATGTGGCCCCGTGGCCCCCTCCCAGGTGCGTCTGTGAGGGTAACGTGAAGCGATGCTGTGGACGCCACTTAGCATAGGACTTGGCGCGTTTTGAATGTGCAGTAGTAAATGTTAGCTGAGATTATTGTCACCATCCTCCCACAGCCACAGATCCTCAGCGCCCAGTGGGAGGCATGGAGAGAGACGTGCATGTAGACACCCCCCTCAGGCAGAATGAGACGCGTGGGGAAGGCAGCTGGACACAAGACACCCACATCCACGTTCAGAGCCACTTAGACGCTGGCATAAGGCCCAGTGGGGCCGGCGCACACTCACGTTTGCTCAGCAGAGCATTTTCTGGGCCCTAGCTGCCCTCAGGCAGTTACATGGGCTCAAGTTGGGAGGAGCTGGGTCTTGGGCTGCCTGGGGAAAGGGTGCCACACACAGGGAACAGTGTCACAGTGCTGTCGGTGACTCGTGAACGTGGGCTTGGAGGCACGGGTGTGCGATGGTGCCTCCCTGAGAGGGAAGGCTGGGTGGGTGCAGTGTCCTGCAGACCTGGGTTTGGGGCTTATCTGTGTTTGAGGTCTCTGGAGAGCACTGAAGTGCTGTGGAGATATCCAGGGACCACCAAAATGATAGATGAGCCCACAAGGTGCGCAGAGTGGCCGAGCTCTGTGCACAGGTGGGATGTAGGGAGAGGGCAGGGGAGAGAAGGCGATGCTCTACCTACAGGCAGAAGCCCCGGTAGCCCCATCTCCCTTGCAGGGGGTGTCTGAGGGGAAGGGGTAGCTGCAGATGGCTTCTTTGGATGTGGGTCCCTTGGGCTCTTCCAGAACGGAAGGGACCTGTGAACTCCCCCACGGGCCTTCTACCCCATCCCTGTGAGTGTCACAGGAGGCAGGGTGGCCAACTGAAGGCACTGAGTTGGGGCTGGGCAGAGAGAGCTGGCGGGGCTGGCTCCAGCCAGGTGACTTACTGAGCCACCTCCTGGCTGTGAAGCCATGGGCGGGGGCTCCCTAGGGTATTAGAGGGGTCCGAGTTGTGTGTGGCCATGCGACCTGGCCTTAGCGTTCTTCTTTTCCAGCCTAAGGCTTAGGCTGATGTCCTTCTGGAAGAGGCAAGTTTCCAGGCTCCACTCCAGCACTGAGTCCTACCTGCTGCAGTCCCCTGTCCTCTCTGAGAGGCAAAAGGCAAATTTGCCAATTTGCTGTCAAACCTCAAATTCCAATAATTGACTCTGCCCTGCAGGGGGAGGGGCTTGCGGGAGGTGGCAGAGAAAATAGTGGCATATGTTGGGGGTCCCAGGCCCCTGTCTCTGGCTCCCACCCCAAGGTTTGTTTACATGTGCTGCACCCTGCAGCAGCAATACCTCCACCTCCAGACCACCGGGCGGCCCAGGAGGAGGGTGGCATTGAACTCTCCCATCTGAGGGCTTGGGGATTGGGTGTGACCTGAGCAGGCCAGAGTGAATTTTGAAAGAGGATACACGCAGCGGAAGCGCTGCAGTGAGAGATACAGTGGGACTGGAGGGCTGTCAGGCGTGGTGGCAGCCAGTGAGTGATTCAGCCTGATTTCCAATTCATTCCTGTAGAGGCCAACTTAATCACTTCCTCCATTCATGTATTTCTTTCATTCTGTCATTTCTTTAAAGTTTGTTTATTGAACGTCTACTCTGGGTCAGATTCCATGCCAGACTCCTTCTTCTTAACAACAAAAGGCAAAAATGAATCAATAGTAAAATAAGGTTTTCTTAAGATACACTTTACTCCACACTCCCTCCTTCCTCTGGCAGTGACACAATGAAGGTGTTATTTACACCTGATTCTTAATGGTTCATTAAGGCAGGGTCTTTTAGCACCTCTATTCACAAAGCTTGATTGGTGAGACTTGCCTTGAATACTTTGCAGGGAGAGAATGGGATTCCTCTGTTTCTTCTCGGTTCCCAGGTAGCCTGTTGTGATGACTGTGGCTGTGTAGGATATTGGAGAGATTGGACATGTGGGAGCACTAATCTCCCTCCTCTTCTCAAATGCTTCAACTCGTTTCTGTTCTGAAGGTCTCCAATGTCCCCAGCTTATAGTCCTCATGCCTTCTGGGTCCCCCAGAGCCCTCTTTAATGTTTGGGGTTGGGAAGGAGGAGGAAGTGATCAGCAAGACCCAAGGAGAGCAGCCCCTGACTTTTCTTACCCCGTTGCTCACCTCTGACTTTTCTCTCTCTCTTTCTCTCTGTTTCAGTCTGGGAGACCGAAACCATTGGTAAGAGGAACCTTGGTGAGGACAGACCGCTGTCTTTCTGTCCATCCAGCAGGAACCCAGCCTCAGGAGATCTCAGGCTCTGGCTGCTGGGATTGGGGTGGGGGTGGAATAAGAGGCTCACTGGGGATCAGGTTCTTTCCTCTTTCCTCCCTTCCCTCTCCCCAACCTTGGCCATTCTGGAAGTGGGAGGAGGAGGGGGCCACAGGAAGATGCACAACACAGGCACGACCTCAGGTCCATCACAGGCTTGTTTGGGAGGATGATACTCACCAATGGAGGGGCTAAGAAACAAGCTCACACATGAGTGCAGGTGCATATATGTGCATATGCACAGACCTGAACATGTGCATCAGTCCATGCAGATACTGACATCCCTGACAGCTAAGAAGCCGGAATGCACAGTGAGCAACAGAACAGAAGAGTGAATGATGCAGCATGCAGGCAGAATAGTGAAGTCAGGGGAGGCTTCCAGGAAGAGGTGGCATGTCAGCTGGACCTTGGGAAAGGAGTTTTGAGAAGGGGGGGTGGGGTGGAAATGGGGTCTCATTTCAAGCAGGGGTTTTGGCATAAGAAAAGGGTGGAAATGGGAATAAAGAGTAGGAAGAGAGGAAAAACTGTCTGAAAATGAAGTCTTCCAGATTCCCTTTGATGAAGAGCAGTTTTGGAGGCTGAGGTGGAGGATTGAGCACCAAAAAGGAAACCCCAAGCCCTGGACCCATTTTGCTGTTTTTTGCCCATTGTTTGAAAAGGCCCAACCATCCCTTTTCATTTTCTCCCATTCCTCTCCATTCTGGAGGCCCTCCCATCCTCCTGGCAGTACCCATTGCCATTACCTGTGGTGGTGGAGAACTGAGTCCTGGACCATCCTGAACATCACAGAAATGCAAAGACAGGGAGAGTGGTGTTAAAAGGTGCAGTGTGTGAGGAAGGTGCGCGGCTGCTGTGTGTGATGTTGCCTCTTGGCGAGGACCCCACCCCCTACTTCCTGTAGACCAGGGGTAGCCTGAGCCTTCCGGGGCGGAGAGTAAACAGTAGCTAACTGTAAGCCAGGCATTTGGATACATGCCTATGTCTGTATTTTTCAGGAGAGTCTGATTTTGGTGACAGTAACTCCTTAGATCTCTCAGGTAAGGGGTTAGGCTGGGTTTGACCGTGGACTGGCTGGAGGGAAGGGCATCTGCTGATGTGTGAGCTTTGAGAACCCCATCCCAGGCTGGGCTCTGCTCCTCTGTGGCTGTGTGATCTTTGGCAGGTGACTTTTTTCTCTGATAAAGGTACAGATTATCTTCATGGAAAAGCACACAGGCAGAACATCATGTGTAGAATTTCAGGGGAGACACGGATGTCTTAGAGTCTCTTTGTGGACTTCAAATAAAGAACTCTGGGATTGACTGTTTCTGAACTCCAACATGTAGAACAGTGGCTCTCAAACTTTAACCGTGCATCACAGTTACCTCGTGCGCTTGTTAAACACAGGTTCCTGGCAGTCTGTAATTCATTCCGCCTGGGGTGGGGCCTGAGAATGTGCTTGTCTCGCCAGTCTTCCAGGTGATGCTGATGGGCTGATCCCGGGACGGGCACCCCTTTGGGAAAGCTGCCTGAAAGTTTTGTGTTCCTGTGCAGTTACTGGGGCAAATCAGCCTAGTGAAGTAGGCACAATCACTGCGGGGTTTTGACAATCTCAAGAGCACTCCATCTTCCGGAGATTTCTATCAGAACAATACAGTGGCAAATTCACAGAACAGTTCTGAACAAAAGGGTTTATGTTTCTCTGAGCCCACACTGTGTTATAAAAAGGAAAAAAAGAAAGAAGGAAAATAAAAGAAAGGAAACCGCTTTTCCTTCTAGAACACTTTTTTTTTTTTTAAATTGTTTTTCAAAGCAGCTTCCCTTTCCTCTTCCCACCATCCTGATGTGAGCAAAGCAGAGAGGAAATGAGGCCCCAGGAGGGGAAGGAACTTGGCCACAGTGGTGATTTCCCTGGGACATTCAGACTTTCTGAAAGAAGTGTTCAGAGGGACTTAAAAGGAGGTTGCCTGAGACAGATTTGCTGGAAGAAGGGACAGTTTGGCATCAGCTGTGGGACAGAAGTGAGCTCCTTTGCTCTCCTTGGGCTTGCCAAACTTCCCCCTTAGCCTGTGCCGTAGAACTCAGAGCTGGAGAAGGGCTGGGCCCAGTCTCCCTGTTGTGGGCAGAACTCTCCTTTCTGGCAGAATTACCCACATCCCAGGAAGTTCATTTCTGACTTACTTTTTTTTTTTTTTTTTTTTTGAGACGGAGTCTTGCTTTGTCACCCAGGCTGGAGTGCAGTGGCCGGATCTCAGCTCACTGCAAGGTCCGCCTCCCGGGTTCACGCCATTCTCCTGCCTCAGCCTCCCAAGTAGCTGGGACTACAGGCGCCCGCCACCTCGCCCGGCTAGTGTTTTGTATTTTTTTTTAGTAGAGACGGGGTGTCACCAGGTTAGCCAGGATGGTCTCCATCTCCTGACCTTGTGATCCGCCCATCTCGGCCTCCCAAAGTGCTGGGATTACAGGCTTGAGCCACCGCGCCCGGCCCATTTCTGACTTTCTTGGCTAAAGAGAACTGGCCTTAGATCTTCTAATGCAGGAAGCGAGGGACACAGATGGGAAAACTGGAAGGATCTGCTCTCTTGGCCTCTGCCTCCCACAGGGGCTGACCTGCTGCCCTCCTTGCCTCCTTCCTGAGCTCCCTGGAGGTGGCGTTGGCTGCAGAGGGGAGGTTTCTGTTCAACAATATGGGTACTGGAGCTCCTTTTCTGCAGGTGTCTCTTGTTTTATACAATGTCCTGGTCTTTGAATGCTGTAAGGGGAAGAGCCAACCACACGTGTCCCGATAGACCAGATACTTCCAGTGTCAGGCTGGGTCACACTCAGGTGCTGGGCTGGAGAAAAAGGGAGCTGCTTGCTCAGCCCCCTGCCCTGGACATGAGTGGCCCACCATTATAAACCATCGGGTGAGGGGAGAATGAAAAAGCAACCTTGAAAGACTGGCACAGCCCCGGGCAGGGCAAAACCCAGCCTGGACTCTACTGTGCAGCCAGCACATGATTCATTTAATGGCCATGACTGATCCCACCCTCTTGAGTGTCCCACTGAATGGCCTTAAAGTCAACCAAAATAGAATTAAAGTACATTAGTGACAGGAAACAGCCCTCCCAAACTCTGAAAGACAACACTTTAAAAGAAACCCAGATATATATCTTCATAAGATCCGGCCGTGTGTTAGTGGAAATCTGGACCTTGTTAATGAAGCAAGCGCTGTGTCCCCTTGATGCGAGATGTTGCAGCTGCTGTGAGGCTCAGAGCACCAAGGGGAAGCATCACATCAAACCGTGTTCCCAAGGTGTGCCAAGGACCCCACCCATACCCTGCAGTCACCAGAGGGGATTCCTGAAAGTGCCCAGATCTCCTGACGGAGAATCCCTAAGGGCAGGCCTGGAATCTGTATTTGCAATCAGTCTCCTAGGTGGTTTTGCACACTGACGTTTGAGAAGTGCTGATCCAGGGCCCAGGGGAGGACTCAGGCCCATCCCTGATGAGCATTTGGAAATGTTCCAGAGGGGAGGGATGCAGGGATGCTGAAGTCAGCTGGTGCAGTCTCCCCATCTTTGGTTGAGATGAGCTTGCTCCTTGTCTCTCCATCTCTCTGATCAGCAATCACTGATTTCTGAAACCTTTCCCCATGCTTCCCAGTTGGTCTTAGGGGTTTCCAGGAATTCCCACTGAACACGTCATTTTTGCATTAGAATTTCAGGGCCCTCTTAATCATTTCTGGGCCTCGCTGAGTTTTCTTTTTGCTGCAGACATGGGAGTGGTGAGCCGGAACTGCACGGAGGATGGCTGGTCGGAGCCCTTCCCTCATTACTTTGATGCCTGTGGGTTTGATGAATATGAATCTGAGACTGGGGACCAGGTGAGTGTCTGCACCCTGCTCCTCAGAGGTGATGAGGGTGGGGCTGAGGAAACTTAGGTCAGTAGGCAGCATTCATGAGCACCTGCCGGGGCTGAGAAGCAGCTGGGATGCTGCCTACTCCTCCCCACCTACACCTGGCTGCTCTTCCAGGATACTGGAATTAATGCCACTGGGTTAATGCCAGGCCCAGCAGGGGGCTTCCTGGACCTTTGTGCAGGCCAAGGCTGCGGTCTGTTCTGATTGGACAGCGCTCTTGCCTTCAACAGCATGTGCTGAGCATCTGCAGAATGCTGACACTGTGCAAAGGGGAGTAAGAGGCTTGGCCAGGGATAGGAGGTGGTGGAGATGACACCAGCAGAAGAGAGGAAGGAGGAGCTAGGCCTGGAGGTGGGCAGGCCCTGGCCTGGGAGACTGCGTGCAGGCCCGAGGCAGGCTGGCTGTGGGCAGGTCTCACATGAAGTCCTGCCTGTCCTGTGATCTCCTTCAGAATTATTACTACCTGTCAGTGAAGGCCCTCTACACGGTTGGCTACAGCACTTCCCTCGTCACCCTCACCACTGCCATGGTCATCCTGTGTCGCTTCCGGTGAGACCCTCAGCAACATTCAAGCAAGCACCAGAACTGGCCAGGGCCTCAGAGGCCTTGGCCCATCTCTCCCCTCCCACTTGATGTCAGCCCTAGAAGACCCCTTGGAAGGCATTTCCCCGACCCCAAGGATAACAGATGGGAAACTTCACCCCAGAGAGGGCAACTGACTTGTACAGAGCTATGCAGCCAGGCAGAGCCCGGGCAGGAAATCTGCATTACTTGCTTTTGTCTTCCTGGTCTAGATAGTCAGAGGCCACAGGAGGGAGAAGTCTGGCCATGTGGGGTGGTGGATCTGGGTTACAGGGGCCTGAAAGTCAGTGAGGATTTAGAGGTTGGCAGAAGGGTGGCCTGGGTGGGAGACCTGCTGAGATAAAGCCACACAGTTGGCCCACCACAGATGCCCACATAGAGGGTGGGTGTGAAATGCTGTGGGGTCCAAGGCTTCTTTCTCCCCTGGCCCACTCATGTAGGAAGCTACACTGCACACGCAACTTCATCCACATGAACCTGTTTGTGTCGTTCATGCTGAGGGCGATCTCTGTCTTCATCAAAGACTGGATTCTGTATGCGGAGCAGGACAGCAACCACTGCTTCATCTCCACAGTGAGTGAGCCGAGCAGGCCCATTAGGGCTCTGCCTGGAAGGCCCTGCACCATCCCCTTGGTTCCCTAGGACGCACATTACCTGCCTGACATCCTGCAGGTCAAGTGTGTTCCTGCAGGTGAAGGCATTGCCCTACCACCCCTGGTTTATGTGAAAACTCATGAATTAAGTTACTAGTAGGTGATGAGCCAATGTACGACATCACTTGCAGCCAAAATGTTTCCTGTCTCTTACCCTGCGTGTTTCATTTGGCAAGGCAGTGGAGGAAGGTCAGCTGGGAACACCAAATCCCACTTGACTGACGAGGAAACTGATGCTGGTCATTTAACTAGCCTGGGATGGAGCCCAGGTGCTGATTGGCCAGGGGTCTTTAGAGACACCTCCCCAGGTCTCATACCTCTGGAGGAGGTAGCATGCAGAGAAGCTGGTCTTTGAGGAGGTAAATTAGGAAGAAGAGTGTAAAGTCCAGGGCCTTGACCAGAGGACATGCTTGGGGAGCCTCTATGAGTAGAGAGTTCTGGAAGCCAGGAATATGTATCCCCCCACCAGAAAGGTGTCCAAATCCTCATTATACCAAGGAGCCTCCTGCAGGGTCCTCTGGCTGATTCTCTCCTTCCTCCCCTCCTCTGTGGGAGAGAGGGTAGGAGCAGGAAAGTGAAGGAGGATGAGCTAGTCATGAGGAAGCTCTGTGTCTGCCACCTGTTTTTGTCCTGTGTGTGCAGTTTTGCCTCCATGAACAGCTTTGACTCAGAATCATGGGATGCTGCAATTTTCAACTCTTTGATCCAGGAATATTGACTCTCTTAGATCCTTGGGATGTTTGGGCCTGAGCATGCCAGAGCCAAAGGGCCCTAGGATTCTCCCCTGCTCCTGTTCCTGTTGGGCTCACACCCCTCACCCTGGCGCTTCTCCTTGCAGGTGGAATGTAAGGCCATCATGGTTTTCTTCCACTACTGTGTTGTGTCCAACTACTTCTGGCTGTTCATC